AAGTGTTGAATTTGCGGGGGCAGTGGCTCAGGAGAAACACTGGCTGACTCCAAGTCTTCGGCTGAAAATAACTGAAGGTATACTGAATCAGGACTGACTGCATCAAGACCCTGCAATACAGTCCAGGAACCATTGTAGGGTATAGCCAACCATTTGTGCTCCCAATGGATTTGCATGGGGCTAAAAGCTTGAAGCCAATCCATACCAACAATTGCATCAAAATCCGACAGATCAAGAACTCTGAAATTAGAACAGAAGTTACAGTGCTCCACTGACCAAGGGACAGACTGCAGAGAACCAGGACTGTGCAGAAATCCACCACCGGCTATCTGAACCTGGGCTGACTAGAACACATGCTGAACCTGAGGTAATTGTGCAGCCAGCTTGGAGCTAATGAAAGAAGAGGAACTGCATGAATCAATCAACATGATAGCTGGCAACCCTGCAATGGAACCCTGTAGACGAATGGTGCGAGACTTATGACACCCACCAGATGCTGCTTTGCACAAGGCCAGACAGAGTTGCTCATCGGGGCCTGACGCCGATTCAGAAGGGGAAGCACAGTCTTCGTCAGGAAGGGAATCCCACAGAATCTCCACGGCATTCAACACTTCTTGGGAGCAGGTGTGGTCCTTAGACCATTTCATGCCGCACTTGAAACACAGCCCCAGAGCTCGCCGGTAAGACTTGATTGCAGCCAATTTAGAATCAGATGAAGATGACTGAACTTGCGGGTTGGTCTTGACAGGCCGAGCAACAGGTGGCGGCGGCAATGGTAATGCTGTTCGTGGAATTGGGGCGGCCTTGGATGATGAAGACCAATCACTGGGACGTGAACTCCGATACCAATTTGTTAACAGCGAGAGGGGATTGGGATCGAAGGAATTGGAATTTGGGTATAGAAGCACAGCAAGGGGAAGGAACCGGATGAAGAGTGCTTAGCAAGTAAGAATATTGTTTACAATTCTCATCGATGCCCCTTTCTCTCTCACCGTTACAGCATATACTCCCAGCTCTCCATCTCACCCTCTCTACTTGTTGGACCATACTGGGCCGAAAAATCGTGTGTTGGGCTTCCTGGGTCGGCGTACTCCTGGGCTCGACGACCCAGCCTGCTCCTCAGCTTCTCCATCGGGTCGGCGCACTCCTGGGCTCGACGACTCGATGGGCTCGACTTGCTGCTCCCGTCGCCCGCCTTCTCTGGTGCAGGAAGTGACCGATCAGGCCAATGAGATCGAGGGCCTGGGCCGCTGGGCGATGGTGCAGCATGCGAGGATTTGGCAGCGGGTGTTGTTGCTATGGAAAGGTGGGCGCAGCGGGAGAATTTGGCAAGGGAGTTAAGCCTAATGAGGTGGCTACTGTGATGGCGGCTGCTGCTACTGAGGAGATACGGAAGACACCGAAGCGGGCGAGTTCACAGTTGGCTAAGTTCAACGACGTTATCGAAGAAGCGGGTGGCATGGAAGAGCGTGGACTTCAGTGGAGGTAATTCTTCTGCCCTTTCTTTCATTCACTTTTCTACTGTTTTTTTTTACACTCATTCACTCTCCTACGGTTGATATAGCCTCTAGCGTTTCAAGCCTTAGGTGTTAGCTGGGGTAGTAATTCTAGTATGGTTGCTGATTCGGTTTGTCTTTTAAAAGAAAAGGAAACTGTAAGGATTAGACCTGAACAGTCAAGTACGGAGGTTTAATTCTGAAATTTTAAGTGACGAGGATCATGACAAGATTGAAAATGTTACTCTTAGCCACTTATGTGGTGATCTGTTAGAGGAAATTATGGATGAGGACAGTGATCACCTAAGCTTTGGTTTCAAAACTGTCTTTAAGAAAAATGAATTTTCATCTTTGACTAGATCAAAAAGAAGCTAAAAGTGCAGGTAATTAAAAAATATAAAAGTGTTTCTTGATGAAAGAAATCTTTTGGAATTGCAGAGGTCTGAGTGACTTGGCTAAGTATAGGATTCTATCCGATTTGTTAAGAGAGCAAAAGCTAGACTTTATTGCTCTTCTCCAAACTAGAAAGACAACTGTCCTTAACAATATTTTTGGTGGGGCCACTTAATTCTTTGAATTCTTGACTTTCAATTGTAAGCCCTTCAATCCATGTGCTTTAATCTTGAGCCGTCCAGAGAAAACACAAACTTGATTCAATGGTTGATATTGCTTGAAAGCGTGTTTATCGGCTCTTCGAAGGATTGAGATGATAATGAGACCCACTAGGGTGGTTGGGCGACCCCCTAGTATGGGCCCACTTGGCTCCATTTCCTCCATCATATCATATGCTGCAGAGAAATACTCCATATATATATATATGTGAAACTTGTTATTTAATAAAATATGTTCATCTTCCTTTTTTCGGAGGCCTGTTGATGGTATTTTGGGTATGTAAATGTGTGATATTTTAATGGTCAACACATGAGTCCTTGGGCTAAGGTCCCTGAACCCGATCCCGCCGGTGGCGAATGTGAGGATGTATGTTGGCCATCATTGCGTTCACGATGGAGCTCGGCGAGGCGGATAACGGCGGTGGCTCATGGATGGCGCGATGACGAGTTCGAGGACAACGAGTGCCGTCATGGCTTGGCGGGCACCACGATGCGCCCGTCTTCACAGCGTGGGGCAGTGGCTCGGCGCGAGGAGGATGTCGTGGCGCAGCGGTTCTGACGCGACATCGACGTGGTGATGCTGTAGCGTTCCAAGGGTGGACATGCGGACAGCTCAGCCAAGGCAGTTGACAGTAGTCCGCCCCGTCGTGGCTTTGGCTCAACGTTGTCATCGCCGGAGATGAGCAGGAAGGGTGGAGGAAGAAGAGAAAGGCACCGGTGGCGGTGTAGCTCTAGGAAAGACGAAGAGTGCGCGGCACAAGGAGAAAAGGGAAGACGACAGGGAGCAAGCCACACAAGCCGGTTTTGGCAACGCTATAAAAAAATTCTCTCTACGATATAGCAAATTGATTTATAGAAGATTTTGGGAGGGGGCTATTTGAATGTGTGACAACTGAGAGGGTGGTACAAAAATTTAAAAAGCCCTTTTTTCATTCGATCAAGTTTTCTGCCAACCTAAGAGTCTAAGACGTTGCTGATTCCATACGTGCCAGTTTCTACATTTTTCGTTTGGATTGGAAATTCTGTGAACGAGGTGGAACTTGACTGATATTTGAGGGCGGCCTCGATTGGAAACGACTGTGATTTCCGTCCTAGTTTGATGGGCCTGTATTAAAGCAAAGTGCCATAGCTACCATACGAGTCGGAATCGGCCGAGTTCTTTTGTCTTAAACTGGTGCGTATATATCCCCGACCGCGATAGAGAAAACGATAATGATATAATTAACACGTCTGGATGGACGGACGCCTCCCTCCGCTCAATGTCGCATGCGCCGCTCGACTAGTGACTCTATCAACTCGTTCTGTCCGCGCGTCCCGATGCTCACTGTGCTGTTTGCTCCCTGCGTCGCCGTGCCCATCCGCCCACCCCACTCCGCCTCACCGCCGTCGGTCCCCTGCCACACTGCGCCCCATCCCCTACGGTCTCCTCCGTGCTGCCTCCTCCGCGCCGTATTCCCCGCCACCGGGCCCAGTCTACCTCGCCCGCCTCCACCGCGCTGTCTCCTCGCCGCAGCCAGCCTCCATCGAGCTGGCGAGCCGTGGCCGCCTCCACCGAACCGGCGAGCCACCATGACGGGATCTCCAGCAAGCAGGCGAGGGGGACGAGATTCGTGTGACACCACGCCCACCGGCGAGTTGCCCGTGCCGCTGCTGCACAGCGAGCTCCATGCGCAACTGGCGTGCCTCCATTCGTCCAAGCAAAGCCCATGTTGCAAGAGTATGTTTTAAGTGTTTTAGATGTTTTATTTGGATGTTGCAAGTGTTTCATCTTGATGTTGCAAAAGTAGATCGGAATGTTGCACATGTTGCAGTGGCTATACACGTATGTTTCAAGTGTATATTCTAAATGTTTCATCTCGTTTTCCAGACGTATGTTTGCAAGTGTTTCATCTGGATGTTGCATATGTTTTCACATATATGAAGTGTTTTTCAGGTGTTTTTCAAGTATTTCAGGCATGTTTCGAGTGTTTCAGCTGTTTCATACGTATGCTATAAGTGTTTCATCTAGATGTTTCAAAAGTAGATCTAGTGTTGTAGCTAGTGTTTCAGATGCATGTTTCACGTGTTTCATCTGTCTTTAGATGTATGTTGCAAGTCTTGCATCCGTATGTTTCAAAAATAGATCGGGCATTACATCTCTGTCTTCACTTTTCTGCTGCCTCACCTTCACCTTGGTGTCTCCTCGTCTTGGCACCGGTCGGTCATCCGCCACCCCTCCCCTTTTTCTGGATGCTGGCGTACTGCAGCTGCTGGCCGCGTGCATGCGCATGAGAAGCGGAGGGGCGCGAGCGGAGACTCCCCACGTGCAGCCGGCGGCGCGGGCCTACGTAGGCGGGCGCAGGATGCAGGTGCGTGGGGAGAGACGGAGTGTAGGCATGGGCGTCCGAACGTCCGGCGCTCCGAGGGAAAAAAAGCTCACGATTGCGATTCACCAATCCAGTCGGCACAGAGGGGGGAAATTTGTCAAGCGAGGGAGGCGAATCTAGGGTGATGGCGAGTTCCTCCTAGGGCAGAAGCAAAGCAAGCTCCCGCTGGCGGATTCCTCTGCGTCCGTCCATTAGGCTTGGGTTGCTTAAGATGTGTGGTGGGCTGTCTTATGGGCCAGCAGCCCAATATGTAGTCACCCGACGCTCATCACCAAGGATGAAAATGGATCGGATATGGACGGATATCACCGATATTACATTTGTTTTCATATTTTTGTTCGGATTCGGATTCAAATACGGATAATATCAACTATGTCGGATAGGATACAATTGGGTATCGACATCACAAATATAAGATTTGAGTATTCGAATATGGATACAGTATCGGATGTTTTATCCAGACTCGAATACGGACAGCCCAAGCACTCAGGGTACAAATGTAGCCACAGGAACCGAAGAGGAGCCACATGCACCAGACGATGTGCATCCCCGTGATCGTCTTCGCGTGCGTCTGCGTCCTGCTGCTGGTCGCCGCGGTGTCTTGCGTGCTCGCAGTGCGGGCGCTGCTGCGGGCGGCGACGCGGGAGATGGCGCTGAACGCCGACCTGGTCCGGCAGAAGGAAGCGCTGCAGCAGGCGGAGCGCAAGAGCATGAACAAGAGCAATGCCTTCGCCAGCTCCAGCCACGACATCCGGTCCACGCTGTCCGCCATCGCCGGCCTCGTGGACATGTCCCGTTCGGAGTCGCAGTCGCTCCCCGGCATCATGGAGAACCTCGATCAGATGGGCGTCTGCACCAACAAGCTGTTCGGTTAGTCTGGACTCTAGACTCTTATGGAGTTAATAATTTCCATCAAGCCAATATTGGTGCGACTAATATGATGTTTTCAATGTTATATATGGTCTACTAATCCACCAGTTAATACAAGCAAAAATGTAGGGTTTGTGATCTACTGTATTTTCTTAGCTACAATAGAAAGGATTAATGCTGCTAATATAGGTTAGCAATTAAAACGTTCTACTAGGAAAGGTGCCAGCTACAGGACGGAGTTTGTAGGTGTTTCATCAGCAAACAGACTACAGATTATCTGTCAAACATATATTAACTTATTAAAATGTAAGTAAATGTTATTACTATGATCGTCGTAGCAATTTTGTTTCAGGAGATATATTATTTGTAGAACAATATTAATTCGAACCTAGTAGGTTATGTTCATGGATGTGATCGATTTGTTTTCTGCAGATATACTGAACTCGATTCTAGACACAAGCAAGGTGCAGTCGGGGAAGATGCAGCTGGAGGAAGCTGAGTTCAGCATGGCAGATGTCCTACAGGAGTCGGTGGACATGGCCAACGTGACCGGCGTCCGGCGAGGGGTTGAGGTGGTCTGGGACCCCTGCGACTTCTCGGTCCTGAGCCGTCCTCGGTGACAGGAAGCGCCTCAAGCAGATCCTGGACAACCTGCTCGGCAACGCCCTCAAGTTCACCGACGATGGCCACGTCGTCCTCCGGGGCTGGGCAACCCGGCAGATCGCCGGGAGCAGCGTCAGTTTGCGCACCCATGGCACAGTGGCGTGTCAGGATGTCTGATGGACTGCTGCCTATCGATGGGTGCTTGCTGCCAGAAGTGTGCCGAGAGAGCAAGGGGCTGTTTAGTTCCACTCCAAAATACCAAAATTTTCAAGATTCTCCGTCACATCGAATCTTTGGACACATGCATGAAGCATTAAATATAAATAAAAAATAAAACTAATTACACAGTTTAGACGAAATCCACGAGACGAATCTTTTAAGCCTAATTAGATTATGATTGGACACTATTTGCCAAATAACAACGAAAATGCTACAGTAGCATTTCGCCAAAAATTTCGGCATCCAAACGGTGCCCAACATGATGAATTGGGAATGGGCCTTCACATGGAAGACCAGCTCGGTCCGCGTCCGGGAGCAGCCGGGTGTTTGGTCCTGAATGCCATTTGGAAAGTGGATATTTAACTTTTTACCATTATAACGGATGTCACCTATGAAATAGCATCTTTAGAATTGACACTACGATTTTACCAGCAGAGAGAGAAATTTGATACGAAATTACCACTTTTGCTCGCGTGGCACGCCAACACATCACTCCAGCGCGGATCCGAGTCAGTAGCCCCATGCAAAATGACGCCCCTGCCCCTAGCGTGTTTATACTCACAGACAGTCGGACACCACTTGTCAGCCATCTCTCCCAGCCTCTCCTCCCGCTGACAGGTGGACCCGGCCGTCAGGGTCATCCCCTACCTCCGGCCACCGATCCCTAAGGCAGAGCGGGTGACAACGACGGGTGGGGTGGAGCTGGAGGGAGGGGCCGATGCCGGTGAAGCCGGCGGCGGTGTCATGCTCGGAGCCGGCACGCCGCCGCCGGTGCCGTTGCTGCGGGCGGTGAGGACCATAACGACGAGCTTCTCGTCGGCGGGATGGCGCTGCGGGCACGGTTCGACGCCGAGAAGCGGTGCAGCAGGGGCGGTGTATCCTTGCTGGGCCAACGGAGGAAGCGGGGAGGCGAATGGTGGTGTCTGTGTGGAGATCCGGAGCTCGAACCTGTGGCAGAACCTCCTAAGAAATCAGGCCCACGTGCACCTATCGATGTCTCAACAGACCTCTGATAGCGTATACAAGTTCCCAACAACTTAACAGGTCTGTCGGGTGTCCTTGGGAAACCCGAATCATCCATGAATCTTTTTCAAACAGGATCCCAATCACAGACATTGCAGATTACAACAGTTTTCGATATACATACCAGAGATTGTAAGGCGGAAGACTTAAGTTTTAATATTACAAACCAGTTGTTTCAACTTACAAAACCATAAGTGTCATATAACCATAGTAGCGGGATAATATTACATTAACATTATTTATTTCACACAAACTAGTGCCTTGTCCAAAGGCCATTCATCATTCCTCATTGTCATCGACTTCAAACACTGACATGCAGCAGGGACCAAAACAAGCCTGCGCATGCGACTCACCTGCAACAAGGGTTAACAAACCCTGAGTACAAAAGTACTCAACAAGACTGACCCGACGAAAAAGGGCGAAGGTCTTAGGGATGCAGGTGTTGGGTCAAGGTAAGGATGTAGCAAGATTCAAAAGTTCTTTGCCAAAAGCTTACTATTCTTGATTCTATTTTCAAGTTTTTACCCCTAAGTACTTTAGTTCATTATCTCAAACTATGTGTTCATATCCCATATTTCAATCTTTCTCATTTCATTCTTTTTCTCATGTTTTAGTAATTCACCAGTCCTGCATTGCTTCTGTAATGAATCGAGTCTCCATATCCGTGGAGCACCGGCAATTCGAATTGTTTCAATTCCCAGCTGGGGATTCCTTATCACACGACATATGTAGAACTTAATCTTGCATATATCAACCTTGCTACCGGATCCTCCTATACTAAGTCGTCTCCATGCCACCCGAGAGCACAGCACACCTCAAATCCGGCCACATTCCAGTCACGTGGGTACACGCTACTCCCGCCATCTCTCCACTCCCAGTGCGTGGGCATTCGTCTCAGCATCGGAATAGCCGAAGTAGGCTTACCGGAGTATGTGACCAGTACTACAAAGTGTCTCATTCAGAAGATCCACAATGAGTGGCCTTTAACCGACATAGTCGGCAACATTACCCAATATTCAAGATAAGTCACCTGACTAGTCTCTAGTTCATTCTATCTTCTTTCTTTCTTTGGCCAGTATGCCATCTTTGATTGTATCGAAACTTTTACTTTGAAAGCCTACCATAAAGCATACTAAGCATTCTATGCCTTTGTAAATGAAATCATCTTCAAGGATGGTAAACAATTAACAAGGTAGGCAATGCATCAAGTAGGTAACATTTGAATTAAGCAACTTAATGCAATAAGTAACATAGGTGATAAACTTTTCAAAGTAAACAAGGTAATGGTTTAATGCATAAACCGGGGATTGCCTTCGTTGACGATCTCGGGTTCCAGATTAGTACCACAAATATCAAATCCCAAGACGACCGGGGATTCTTCCACAACTTGCTCAACTAGAATCGGTTCACTCTCGGATTCTACACGAAATAATAACATATGCTTCAACATGATGATAATGTAGACATGATGCTTTCATGGTGCATGAAATGTAATAACACCTTGAATACAACTTTCCTTCACGATACAGTTGTAAATCAAAACTAATTGACACTAACATCTTGGGTTTCGACAAGTTAACTTACTAATGACCTTTGTTATCTCATGAAATGTCATTAAGATTTACTAATTATAAGTTAGGTATGAGTTCAAATAACTAATTAAGGTACCAAGGATCATCATAAGTTACTGACCCAAGGTCAACATTCAAATCCAAAGTCAAACAAACCCTAAATGATTAAGCATTAACTAAGTGAATAATTAATTAAATAATTAAGCCTAAATTAGGTACAAATTCAAATTTGTTCAATTAAGCTCAAAATTTTATGCAAGCTTCCTCATGATAAATTAGTGTACCAAAATAAATTTTATAATTTTTGGAGTTATACAGTGGCCTACAAAAATTATGGAAATTACATTTATCAATTAATTGACTGAATTTTTGAACATTAAAAATTTATTCAAATTTCAAGTTTCATATTTTTAAACCATAATAGAACATGTACAGAAGCTACACACAAATTTTCAGAATTTTTAGAGCTATAATTATTTTTCTACAAATTTCCAAAGTTGCTGCATTATTCAAAATCCAGAAAATACTAAATCTCACTGTTCTCTCTCTTCTCTCACTGACAGCCAGGTCCCACTGTCAGTGACACAGAACAAAGCACACGGCGGCGTTGTCGACTCCGGTCGACCAAAACGCGCCGGCGGTGAGGTTCCGGCGAGGCGGACCGCACCAGCATGATCTACACTACCCCGCGAATCTACCCCGACCCTTAGAACAGCAGCAGGCGCACCGGAGGAAGCTCCACGTCGGCCATGGTGGCCATGGTGGCGCGGACACGGCGGCATACGACGCTACACCGGCTACAACGCGGTAGAGGCTAAAGCGGAGCGAGCATCACGCTCAGGAGCTCACCGCGAACATGACGGTGTGCTCAGTGAAGGCGGAGACGGGCTGGAACGGCGTGGTCATGGTGAGGTCGGTGGTGGCGGTGCTTCGGCCGGCTCCGAAGAAGAAGACGCCGTGGGTTGGCGCTAGACTGCTAGAGGAGAGGGAGCAGGCTTGGAAGGAGCGGTAGGGCGAGGCGGAGCTGCTGGCAAACACAATTGGCACGAGGCACTACGGCGAGGACGAATTTCGTGAGCACAGCAAGGGCACCGGCGACGAGCAGTCGACGGGAAAAGGAGAACGACGGCGGCGGATTCTCCTATTTATAGAAGGGGAGGACGCGCCTGGCTTCGACAGCTCCCGACGAGGTTGCCACGGAGACGGCAGCGTGTCACCGCGCGAAGAAGCGGTGAAAAATGAACGGCGGCATGCGGCTGCGTGGCGCCGGCGGCAAGCAGGAGGTGGCGCTCGGCTTTGTTTTGATTTTTGAATTCTTTACATAATTGCCACTGAGTTCTTTTTGCAAATTACTCACAAATTTTCTAAAGAAGTCGAAAATCTCCAAAAATGAAAGTTGCTCAACTTTTCAAGCTCTACAACTTTGCTTTAATGAACATTTTCAAATTCTGTCTCTATTTTAAAATTTGAATTTGGGGTGCATTTGAGCATTTGAAGCATTTCAAAATAATTCCAAATTTTATATGTAAACTTTAAAAGCTTTGAATACCAAAGTTGATCCTTATAAAATAAGCTTCAACTTTTCTTTTTGTCACACCCCCAAATTCCAAATGGATTTTAAATAGACAGAAGGGGCAAAAAGGACTTTTATAATTTGAATTTGAATTCAATTTGATTTGTTCACCTTTTTACTTAATTATGGTTTTTGACCAATTACATGGCCCATTAGGGTTATTTGAGTCAAATGACACATGGTCTCACATGATCACATGAAATTTGACCCTTGTGGCCATGATCTTTATATAGAGTTTTGAATCGTATTACATCACATAAAATAACACTATGAAATAAAACTTATTTAGTGAATGCATTCAAAATTTCCTACTTTATGAATGCTTTGCAATGCATATGATGACATGTCAAGTTTTAATGCTAGGTCAAAACACCAGAGGTGTTACAACCCTTCCCCCTTAAAGAAATCTCATCCCGAGATTTAAAACTTGGGATTAAGTAATGGAAAAGGAAATGTGTCAAGCTAACACATCATAACTTTATTCAAAAGGCTAGTGAAGGGGGGTTTTCCATTCTTTTGACAAATGAGATAAGTTACAATATAGACAAGGTATTGCAACTAGATAGAAGCAAAGAAGTCAGGAAAGTTTTCTTCTAAGTAATCCTCGGACTCCCAAGTAGCTTCTTCTTCA